GTTCATCACATATACACATCTATTGATATAGTACACTGCCTTTTGGTATAAATAGGATTCATACATGTATAAACGCACTGTATCAGAATATTCGAGGAAGAGCAATGAACGGTAAAACCATAAAAATAATTTGTAGTATGAAATGTTCGAGTCATTTATACTTGTCTACTATTGGTACGATAAAAACGGAGCACCTTTTATGATATTCAACACTTATTAGCATAGCTACATTAAATAAGACATGTACTGTTCTCACAAATTTTCATTGCTCGGAATCCTAATCTTTTAGAACTAAATTATGACTTGTTTTGTACAAATAAGAGGAGAATCAATTTTTACTTTCAGTGAAATATAAATGCGTCGATCTGGCCTCAAAAATCTTGTTAAATAAAATTTTTACAAAATGATAATTGAATGTGTTCAATTACGAACACGTGTATTTTAAGTACAATTAATCATTTTGTAAAATAAAGATTATCCAAAATTTTAGCTATACTAACATAATAATTTATCTAAATCACTGAACACCTTTCAGAGTTCCGACTTTGAACTGTAGGAATATTTAGGTTTTAATTCTTCAATCCGCTTAATAAAATCTGTCTTCTCTATACAACCATCGCATGCTTCATCCCAGTCACTCAAGATCTTTTTCAAATCACGCACTTTGAGTTTACTCAAATCAACTGTGTCAATATCAATTTGTTTCTCTGAAATTTAAAGATGTCGTTATTATGTGTAAGAATCAAATAACAGTAAGTAAATGTAAGAACATTTAGTATGCATACCAAATCTCAGATCACATATTTGAGCATCTTTCTTCTTCAGCTTTTCACATATTTTGGATGCAGGCATTGACCATGATACAGGCTTACTTAATTCACCTAAGATACCAGTAGCAGATTCTTCCAAACCTCCCAAGTAATAGCACTGAGAAAATAACAATATATTTGGATTATTATAAACTTATTTTTCTTATATTAATTATCAATATAAAAACTTACAAATCTGTTTTCTTTAGATTTTGTGCTTTTACAAAATGTTTTGAATGCTGCTTCTATCTTTCTAGTGTCCTTTTTAACATCATCGGATAATGTGTTCACA